CATTTACTTAAGGTGATTCTTAGTTATTTTTGGTTAAATTAAATAATAGTTAGTTTCTCAATATCTTTGACACGCAATACATGACAATGATAGAAAACACGTTTCTCCTAGCATTAGGCATTGATAAACAACATAAAATCTTAACAAGTAACACAACCTTTGGCAAGAGACATGAGTTCATTAATAGACAACACTTAATCTTATTTAATCTTTGACAAGTAATACACAACATTTTGTATGTAATACATGAAGCAACATCTGTCTTTTAGTCAATAGATATTGATATTTAGTGAAAGATTATCTATCTTTGGTAAGTAACTGTTAATCTTTACTTTAATAAGTAATACCTAATTATTAACCAATAGATAATAATCTTTACTAAAAAGCACACCACAATCAATGATTAACTATTAATTTATAAATGTACTATTAATTAATAAGTGTAATACATCGAGGGGTCCAATTATCCTAAAATTAATTTATAAGTGTACTATTAATTTATAAGTGTAATACATCAAGGGGTCCAATTATCCTAAAAAGAGATCTAGAACTAAAAAGAAAAAAAAAATATTTACCACACATACTGCAATATTCTTTTTTTAAATTTATTCTTTGAAAAATAATGTTTTAAAATTATTTGAATAATAATTATTTATAATTTTTATTTTATAATTTGTATTTAATCAACTACATATAAGAACCTAGAAAATAGACTATTAGAGTAGATAGGTATATTAAAATAATGAGACCGAATATTTTATTTTAAAATAATTTTATGATATAAATAGAATTTTATAAAGCTCAGTTCATTATCTAAATCACCTCTATCTCTCTAGAACATTATTTTACTTGAGTTCTCTCACTTCTCTTTACTCTTTCTCAGTCCTTGATCCATTATTTGACGATCAGGAGATACCTAGGCGATCAAGGCGTCAAGGTTTACCTATCTGTCCAATTAATTTCTAGATTTGAGCAAGTAAGTTTAGTTTCTCTTTTCTAAGTTTTCTTTAATTTTGTGATCACGCAAAAATTCTGCCTTGCATGTGTTTGGGGTCCTCTTCTAGAGATTCCTTGCACTACAAAGCACGATCAGAGTAATTTTTAAATAGTACAAGCTTAATTGAGGTAAAGGAAGCTAGTAATTTCTTTTATTTGTGTAATTACTGGAGTATATTTATAAAGAAGATGATTTTGAACTGTTTTGAATGGTGATTGGATATGTTTTAGTGATAAGAAGGGGTTAGAAATCTGTGATGGGGTTGGTTAGTCATGATTTGGAATAATTTTTCTTTGTAGTAAATCATTTTAATTAAGGTAGTGAAATGAGAATTAGAGGTTAGATCCTCAATTAGTCTGTTGGGACAGCTTGGGTAAGTCAAATATAACTTGTTTGAATACCTATATTGCTTAAAAATGTGTAAAAAAGTGGTAGAACACAAATTGGGTCCATAGGTTGTTGAATTGTGAGTTTTGAAGAGTGAATTGCTTAGGAAACTCTTTAGAATGAAAGTAGTAATGTGTAACAACATTTGTTCAAGTATATTTAAGTATATAATACATTCTAGAAATGTTAGAAGTTGGGAAAAATAGTTAGAATTGGTAAAATTGGTATAGGTTGTGTAATTCTGCATATTTGGTGTTGCAGATTATGCAGACTCGCTAAGCAAGTAGAGTCGCTAAATGAGTGGTTTTAGGAGTTGGTTATCTGTCTGAGGATTTTCACTCAACGAGAAGATGCGCTGAGCGAGTTGCTGAAGTTTGGGAACACTGTCAGTTTTATTCGAATAGCGAATAGGTGTCATTAGTGCAATAAGAGGAAATGACATCGGTTAATTTTGCTTATAGGCATCGGTTCTACAACCGAGACATATACAAACGAGATAAAAAGGGGTGGCTTTGTGCCTCGGTTCTGAACCAGGTTAAAACGAGATAGGATTATGCCTCGGTTCTTAGATAACCGAGGCAATAGCGTGTTTTTTTTTTATTTTTTCGGTATGCAACTCCCTCTTTGTTCCACAGTCCAAGCAAAAGGGTTATTGATTATGTTTTGTTTTTCCTATGCTCTTTCGCTTTCTCTTTTCCTTCTCTTTTTAATCTTAACCGAGTCTAGAATTCTTGATCAAACATAGCAAGAAAGAAACTCCTTAACATTAGCAACTAAAATATAAAGATAAACTGAAAAGAAAAACTATCCACATATGAAACTTGCTGCTGAGTTCTATTTATTCAATGAAGCCACTACATATAAACAGAACCTGTGCTGTAAAAAAAGGAAAGAAGATATGAATGACAGAAGGAAGAAAACACACATAAACACAATTTTGAGACAAAAAAAACAATATGTGGCTTGATTATCATGAACCAATGGCACCCAAACTCCATCAGCGCATTCTCACTGCCAAATCCTTTGATTATCACAAACCAGTGGCACCCAAACTCCAACCTGCATTAACAACCCAAATTTTCAACCCCAATCAGAAGACCCTAACAGAGGTGTAATCGGAGCTCTCCAATAGGCTTCAAATATGGGCGCGCTGCTCCCTTTCTTTCTCTTTCTTCTTTCCCAGCGAGCAATAAAAGTCGCAGAGCAACCTAAGAAGCAGAACTCCCAAATCCATTTCGCCATCCATTTGTAGAGACACTATCTTGACCGATTAATCGGTGGAACCAAGGTTTTAAACGGTGGAAAAAAGGAATGAATAGAGGAAAATAGACTTACAGTGCGGAGGAGAGGGGGATCTGTAATGGAGGTTGGCGACGAGGAGATGCGCTCTCGAGAGAGAAACTGGCTCGCGAGAGTGTGTAGAGACGTAGCTAACCGCCACCATGTCGTCGTCGCCGTGTCCTCGCTGTGGTGTCCTCGCCGCTCCATGAGAAAAGAGTTTTTGCCATCGCAACATCGTCGTTGCTGTCTCGCCGCACTGTCGTCGCTGTCTTGCCGCACCATCGTCGCTCTCACCGCCATCGCACATCGCAGAGAAAAAGGAGAAGAGGAGAGTGCTGCTAGGTTTTTGGGGAAAATCATTTTCTTATCTCGCACCGTCGTAGAGGCTAGGTTTTTTGCTTTTTAAGGTCCAGCCCAAGCCCATATGCCTCGGTCCATCTGCCAACCGAGGCTGTATCATTGCCACGTCAGGTTTATGCCTCGGTTTACCCTGCCAACCGAGGCAGTATTATTTTGAGACATCGGTTGCTTAATAATCAAGGTATATACTATTTTAAAAATTACAAGACTACCACCGCATTTTAATATGCTTCGGTTTCAGAAAAACCGAAGCCTAATATGTGAGTTAAAAATGCAATTTTTTACTAGTGTGTGCTGAGCAAGTGAGTAGAAGGTCTGGTCTACTGTCTGGTGAGTTTCACTTAGTTAGAGATGTCGCGGAGCGCGAGTTCAGGTTTGGAGTTTATTCGCACAATGAATTTGATCATTGTGCGAGAAACCTTTGTATTCGCTTAACGAGGGTATATGTAACATTCCATTTTAAAATGTCATGAGTCAATAATAACATTCTAAAATGGGACGTTCAATATGTATTGAGCAACTGTTTCAGGTTATAATGCATTCTTTTTTTCTTTGTTCTTTATTGGATGGAATAATGCAAATGATTTGGTTGTGATTAATGTATGACTATGTATGTGTATCAAATTAAGGTTTATGATTTTAAAATGATATGAAAGAAAATTCTAAGGAAGAATTACTCAGTGATGATTGTCAAAGTTTGTAAGTCTAAATATGGGAAGCTCAATCTTAGAGTTCATTCTGACATTTTAATGATCACCCATTCTCAAGTAGAGATGGGTGAGACATGTCGTGAGAATAGGAAGAAGTCCTAGCCTAGAAGCTTATCTTTAGCTTAAAGTGAGTGATAACGGACTAATTTTGTGTAGTAGCTTGAGGTGGTCAGTTGTTTCACCATAACAAGTGAACAAACTGTCATAACTATATATTCATACTAATTTAGATGGTCGAATCAAGAGTTATTCGATTACAAGTTAATTTGGTTTAGTGTTTTGTGCATATATTGAAATGTTTAAATCATATTTATATTTTATTATTTGTTTTTCTTCTAGTTTATCTTTATATCTGTGTTTTTGTTGTATGTTCTTTTTGTTTTTCTCTTTTTTGTTATAATTGTTGCAGAAAGAAATGAAATGACGTTAGAATAAATTATTGAAAAAAATGACCAAACTTTTGTATATTAAAATCTAATTTATATTTATTTTAGAAGACTGTAAAAGCCAATTTATGATATAGTTTATGACTATTGTATAGTATCATATTTGTCATATTTCTTTAATATAGTAATATACTATATTTTTAGATGTTACAGTAAAATTAAAATAATTATTTATAATAAAATATTGTCTATAGAATAAATAAAAGTTATTTATAATACATTAATTTTTAATATAATTGTCTTTTCAAATTTAACTATTTTCTTATATTAAAATAATTATTTATAATAAAAAATTATTTACAAAATATTAAAAACCTTCTTTAATAAAATTATAATACTTTTACTTTTATAAGTAAAATAATAATAATAATAATTTTATTATTTTCCTTAACATTAAAAAGGTTAACATATATATATAACACCTATTTCTACTTGTACAATAATTACTTAGTCTGAAAATGCTCGTATTAAAAATGTAAAACTGAAATATATAAATTATTAAATATTAAAAGGAATTATAATTACTAGATTAAAAATATTAAGTTAAATATTACATTATGAGTGATTATTTATTACATATATATAGTTTTCTTATTAGAATAATTGTATAAGCTAAAAAAAAAAGTTGAATAGGTAATACTGAAAAAAACTTGTGCATATTTTGAAAGGAGAATCCATTTGTTAGTGTATGTTGGTATAGATAATAATTATTTACCGAAAAGTGATCTTTCATTAGAAATTTTTTTTTTAAATGACATGGTTTTAGAGGACAATTTTCTAAATGAAACAAGTAAAAAGAAAGATGCAACAATTCCATGACAGAAAATCCCTACATACATAATTTCCAACAGAAGATTTCATTTACAAGCTACAGAAATTGAGAGTAAACTTTTGTATCTCACACTAACATCTCAGGAAGTTTAACACCTACAACAAATATGTACAAGATATTAAGTGTTCAAAATATCTTCTACTGTTACCAAAATTTGACAGAAAAACCCAAAAAACTTTTAACTGCAATAGAGGTTAAGATCAGGTACTTGAAAATGTGACCCCTTATTCTCCCCCGTGCTCTTGTCTAAACGAGTCTTCTTTAAGCATCGAGACTCATCAATCGCAGAGGGCACCCCACAGTACATTGAAGGACACTCGAATCCTTTAGCAATTTCCATCAACATCCCCTGCAACTCTTTCAAATCGTAATGTTTTTTCTGCAACATATACGGTTGGCACATGATCAATGTCTATTCTTCAACCTCTATTCATCCGAAACATATTCTCTCTTCAAAATGCTACTGTTTTCATCTTATACAAATACTTATACTTTATATTCAAATTCATATATCTACAAATCTAAACTACCCAAAGGATCGTTATATAGGATGAAGCATTACCTCTCTCCTCGCTTGAGCCATGAGAGACAACATTTCTTCCATAAAATCAGAAAACCCCTGAAAGTAGAGAAACACAAACATAAATCTTTCATGAATACAACACAGCAAGAAACAAAAGGAATCAAATTTGAATGCACATAAAAGGCAATAACTCTGAAGCACGCACCTCGTCCTCTCCCTCTTGAGGATCATGCAAACCCGCATCATACAGAGTTCTTTTCTTACTGTCCGACAACACTGCTCCAATAAATCACAAAGAAATGAGCAACAAAACCTATGTAATTCGCAATACCATAATCATTTCTATGATATAATTTGAGAAAAGGCACAATCTTTTACTCTTGAGACGCAAGAACTTGAAGCAAACATACCCGAATAGGCTTCTTGAATTTGCTGGAATTTGTGTTTGGCTTCTCCCAGCAAAGAAGGCATCTTTGTCCACCTATCAGGGTGCCATTGCATAGCAAGCTTTCTGTAAGCACGCTTTATCTCTTCCACGCTAGAATCCGAACTAACACCAAGAACGTTATAATAAGACGACCCTTCTTTGCAATAACCCATTATCGCAATGAACAAACTTACAGAGTCATGAAAAGAAAGTGACAATTTTGTGTTGTCCTTCAGCTCATGGAATTGCACCCAGATGACAATGAAGGAGGGAATGAAGAAAAAGAAGGTATAACAGGTATTTATTGTTATAGGGATAAAAGGGTGATTTTGGAAATGAATGGTCTAGAAGAAATATCTGAGAAAAAGGAAGATAGTGATTCCAGACCCTGGAATGTTCGTGAAGGAATAGTAGATATTTTGACGTGGGGGAAGTAGATAGATATTTGATAGAGTATACATACATGTGGTTGTGAATGTGACAGTGGTAGAGATATTTTAAGATTGAAAGTTTCTTCAAAACGTCATCGCTTTGTGTGTTGTCGTTCTGACTCTCCTTCCACGTGTAAATCACTATTTTAATGGCGCTTGAACTGCAATCTCACAAAACATGTTATGAAGAACACAAAACCCTATACGCAAATATTTTTCACACAAGAAAATACAGTGTGTGATAAAATTAACTGAGTTTTATAATTAATTAATGCATTAAAAAGTCATAGTAAAGTACTATCGCCTTATCTTATATTAATGTTTGAAAGTAAGAAAATTTTTAAAAATAAAAATATTACTTTAATAACAACACAGGGAAAACTTTTTAATGATAATTTGTGATATAAATTTCAGAAATCTATATTTTTAAGAGAACTTTAGTTAGCAGCATTAAATTTATTATGTTATTTCTTTGCAGAATTGTCCCTAAATTGTTAAAATTCTCGCTAAATTAAAGAACCATTTTTAATGAAAAACTATATACTTTCATGAAATATTGATAAAGAATAGTTAAAACATTTAATTTTTAAATAAACATATATACAATTAGATGATATATAATCCCTGCTCAAAGTAAATATATTGTAATAAATATTTGTATTGTCTTTTCAATATTTATGAAGAAAATGTCCATTTAATAACCATGCTATGCAAGAAAAAGTCCATTTAATAAACAAGTAAATGCAATGTGTAAAATCATATATAATGTACCAATTACAATATTAATTTTATCTATTTTTATTCAAAATAAAAATAATGTTTTTAAAATAAGATACTAAGACAGTTAAAAGTTTTTATGTTTATTACAAAAGAACTTTTTATACTTTGATATCAATATAGATATAATCGATATAAAAAAATTATTTTTTATGCTGATTATTACATAGAAGTCTAATTTTATATATTAAATATTTCATCAACTTCTTCTCGTTTTTCAAAATCTTAAAACTTAAGACCAAACAGCATGAACTCCTCATTTTGCATCCTCATACTTGTCTTCATACGTGTCCTTGACTTCACCGTGTGCCTTTTCATAGGCGACATATTTTATCTCAGTTTTATGCTCACTACATGTTACTATGCATTCTCTACTTCACTTCATTCACATTTTTGTTCACATCAGGTCTTCATTCTCATCACCCTTTTTTTCATCTCCGATATCAATCTCATTCGTACTTCTTTACTAAGGATGTTTGAGACTCCAAAGGCTGCATAGGAAACACAATAAATACATTGTTACACCTACCACTGGTATTTTTTAAGTCTCAAGTTAAGTCTATTTTTAATCCCTAAATCCCGTAACATATTTAAATTTTGGTTTTAAGTAGGTTAAAATACAGATAAACTTAAATTTTGTCTCAGTTAAAGTTTTCTAACATACTTAAATTAATATTTTAAGTCTTTTCGAATATAACAAAATTTTAATTTTATATCTGTTAATTTTTCGATAGACTTAAATCTATGTTTAATCTAAATGATAACTTTTTTTTCACAAAACATCGGTTCTCCTTTGTCTACTCAAAATACAAAAACACTTCTTTCTCCTTTTCTCCGACCACGAGAAATTTCTTCTTTCTCAACTTTTGCTCATGTCCAACTCAACGAGTCCATGTCTATCTTGTTAGTCGTGCCCCTCCTACACCTGCTCGCACCTTTCACCTTCGTTTTTGCGTGGAGAGATCTCCCCACCTTTGCGTTCAAGTCTAATAGGAAGTGTTGTCCTCTGCTCACGCCCTCCACCTTCGTCTTTGTGTGAGATCTCTCTGCCTCTGCGTCCAAGGGCATAATGTCACACTCATCGCATTACAGGTCATGTCTCCCCGCCTCCTCACACGTTGTTGTTGTTGTTGCTACCTCTCGCGTTGTCGTTGCTATTGTTGCCTCTCGCGTTGTCGCATTCGACGACGTCCTCCTCACTCTTCCTATCCTTAATTTCGAGTANTTCTTTCTCCTTTTCTCCAACCATGAGAAATTTCTTCCTTCTCAACTTTTGCTCGTGTCCAACTCAACGAGTCCATGTCTATCTTGTTAGTCGTGTCCCTCGTACACCTGCTCGCACCTTTCACCTTCGTTTTTGCGTAGAGAGATCTCCCCACCTTTGCGTTCAAGTCTAATAGGAAGTGTTGTCCTCTGCTCACGCCCTCCACCTTCGTCTTTGTGTGAGATCTCTCTGCCTCTGCGTCCAAGGGCATAATGTCACACTCATCGCATTACAGGTCATGTCTCCCCGCCTCCTCACACGTTGTTGTTGTTGTTGCTACCTCTCGCGTTGTCGTTGCTATTGTTGCCTCTCGCGTTGTCGCATTCGTCGACGTCCTCCTCACTCTTCCTATCCTTAATTTCGAGTACAAGTGAAAGAATTGGTTTTGGTTTGTAAGGATTAAGAATTAAGATCTTTGTTTTCTTTTTAGGGTTTTAGATTTTCATATTAGTGATTTTTAGGATTAAGAATCTTTAGGGTTTCTTATAAAGTGATTATTAATGGCTCTAATTTCTCTTTTTTTATTTCTGATTTGTATTATGTTCTGTAAATAATGTGATTGAATTTATGAGTTTTTGTTGTATATGTTTGATTGTGAAGATGAATTGAATTGGGAAATGATTGATTGTGAAGATGTATTTATGTTGTATTATATTTCAATTTCATCTTTATTATTGTGTATGAGAAAAAGATAAATTTTGTGATGGGTGATTGATGCAAATTTATCTTAGTTTCGTGAAACATTTGGCTATTTGACTTCTAATTGGAATTTTTGAATTGTATGAATCAAATTGTGTGGATTTTGTCTCCTTTAATTTGTAAATTTTGGATGTTTTTCATTACAACATTTAACATAGATTCGGTAAATTAATTTTATCATAATTTAATTTTTTAAAATGATATATAGAAAACAAATAGTATGTAATTTACATTTAATTATTTCAATAAATTAAATTAATTTTCAAATAATTTTTTATATTATTACTTTCAAATTTATAAAATAATTATTTTTCAATTAATTCTCATTTAGTTTTAATTCATTAAATTTTAATCAAAAATATTTTGGTAATTTACTGTATTTCTAAATTAATTTATTTTTTATTTTGTTATATCAATCATATTAACATAAAAAAGTATTCACTTTCTCTTTATTTAACTTAATCTAAAGAGTTTAATTTTCTCTTTATTTTTTTTATTTGACCTTCTATTCAAGCAAATCACTAGAAATCACATTAAAAAAGGAGAATCATACAATATCTTCGATAAAAGAAATAGGATAGTTACTCCCTTCACCATCACACACTCCTTACACCTTTTCATTTCTTTTTTGTCCTTCACTAATATTTAAACGAATATAAATATGCGTTGATTTTAAACGAAGGTCAATATTCGTGGACAAATATCGATATCCGTTGAAGAATAAACGAATGTCGATATCCGTCCATAGATATTAACATCCTTTTAAGAATCAAGATCCACGAGTGTTGAAATTCCTCCTACACATGTATTGTGTTAGCTAATATCAAGAAGAAGGATGTCACTGATCAACCTGCTACTACAACAACCGGCGAGTGAGTACTAATCTTAAATGAAGCTTTCATTACCTTAACTAAATATTACAAAATTTTCTAGATGGTCAAAGCAAGTGATATGGAACTTTATGGCTTGATTGATTGGACCGCATATGGGATTACCTTTAATATTTCCAACTTTTGGGCATTACATTTTTGTGTTGTTGGATGCCTTCTGTTCTATTTGTTTGGATTTAAATTGCGTTATTCATTTCCTAATTGTTGCTTTTCTTATATTTTTAAATTCTCTTTCCTGGATACAGTAGTTACTTAATTTGCATGTTTGTTAAGTTATTGTATTACCAAGTTTATTTTTCTCTTGGAAGTAACATTTTGAGTGATTTCTTTCCATTTTTTTGGGATGTTTCATATACAAATTTGTTGTTTCAGCCTCAGAACCAAGGAAAGTTGGTAGCTTGTCATAGAAGAGTCATGTGTTTGTTTATATACTAAAATAATCATAAACAGCCAACAAAAATTTATGATTCTGAATATTCCCCTTTTAATGTAGGGTGAAAAAGTGGGAAGAGAAGCGGTGGCGGCGGAAGAAGGAGGGGTTGGTTGAGGCGTGAGGCTTGCACGATCGTGGTAATGGACATCATGTGGCTGTCGAGAGTTCTATAAACAAGTTGAAAAGAAGTTAAGAGAAAAGTGGGAAGCTTTATAAAATTAAATAATCACATTTGGGACTGGAAGGAAAAGTTGGAACCTATTGCATGACTCTAAGAAAAGATGCACCTAACATATGATGTGATTGTAGTCATGTAGACTTTGAACATACTAAATATCTTGAATGAAAGTATGTTTGAAAGAAGGTCGTTAAGGGTGGTGAGGGGTTTCATTTGTGCATCCGACAGAACCAACATGTACAGTGTCATGCACACAATAGATGATTTCAACTTTGACTCGTGATGGTTGCAAACTTGTAATTGTTTGGTGGTGAAGAACATTAAAGAAGTCATGTAGGTACAAAAATAAGGCAATGCATTGTGGACCATTTTCCCTCTTCCTTCTCCCTTCCCTTCTTTACATACTAAAATAAATCCCCTTTTGATGAAGTTTGTTTGGAAAGAGGTCATTAGGGTGGTGAGGGGTTTCTTTTGTGGGCATCCGCAGACCAACTGTACAGTGTCATGCACACAACAAATGATTTTTCGACTTTGAGTCGTGATGGTGCAAACTTGTAATGTTTGGTGGTGGAAGAACATTAAAGAAGTCATGGTAAAGGTACAAAATAGGCA